CACACACCAAGAGCAGAGGGATAGGGCTTACAAAGCAGGTGAGTCAGTTCAGGAATATCATATCCAGATTTGGACAAGGATAAAACCCACATGAATGGGAGCAAATGTGGAGTTATGAGTGGCAGGACACTGGACAGCCCTTCAATAGGTTCCCAAAAAGGGCTGATAACACTTAAGTGCTGGATGAAATGGCCCACCAGGGGGGCACAAGACAAGAGAAGAAAAAGGTGGTCTGGAGACACACACAAGACTGGCAGAGAGGGAGTCAGACACAATTTATCAACAAGTTACAGACAAACACTTTTAACCAGTTTGGGAATAAAAAATAACAACAACTTGAAAGACAAATTGAAAAATTCTGCTTGGAAAAGGAGCACACAGCATGAGATCACAGGATTCAGCAGACTATAAAATAGGAAATGAGACTTATGCTTCTCCCCCTACAGCTACACAAAACCCTCCTACATAGATTACAGACACACTTGGCAATTGCCTTCCTCCTCCCGCCTCTCCTGTTATGGACAAGGCAGAGCAGGTAGCTGCCTAAATGCAGAGAGGATATTAGATAAAGCATCTTGCAAAGCTAAGTGTGAAATATTAACAACAGGAGGCAATGGGTTGAGTTTTTATGCAAGATCACAAATTTGGTGCTTAGAGCGCTGGTGATGTTCTCACACATTGGAATCTCAAAGTGCTGCTTGTTGAATGTTTCATTTACAAAGATACTGAGGCCTACTGGAAAATTTTTATCAGTTCTGTTATTTCCTGTATCTTCTCTAACTTCTCTGGTTTTGTTCTTTTCCCTTCCTGCAACGCTAAGAAATTATGCATGAATAAAAAGGTTGTTCTTTCCATTCATCTGGCAAGTTTTAAAACAATTCATACTCTTAAAGCAGGCACTCTGCAAGCTATATTTTCACACGAAATTACCACAATTGTGAGCACTGCATCCGAATCACTGGATGCATTTGTACACAGAATTACCCAGTTTGCAGAGGAGTGCAATAACCAGGCAAGCAAAATGGACATGCACTGCTCAGCTGAAGGGAGCACTGTGCCCAAGCTGCTCCTGGCCATGGGCAGGTTTGGTTTTAGTTGGTGAAACAGGTCACAGATATCCCTGGTCACAAAAGAGCTTCTTTCTACCCAGCACATGCAGCACAGACAGCAGCGTGGCTGCCTCTACCCCACCTCAAAGTTGCCTTTGGAGGAAACTGCCTCTAATTCAGTTTCCACAATAGATTTAGACCTTGTTTATCCTGCTGTCCTAAGTTGTCCATTAATGCCAGCTGTGGTGGTAGCGGTGTGGAAAGGACATCTATTCAACACTGGACACCAGGCTCCAGCAATAATGATCTCTGCCACTCTGGAGCACAACTGACACCTGCTGTCACAATCTTGCACAGAAAAAAATTGCTCTGAATATCCAACAAGCAGTCAAGGAGAAACATACAAAGAGGGAGCCTAATAGAAGGTACAGGGCTTCTTCCTTCTTTGCAAGGGCCTTGGAGCAGCGAGGATGAGGGGGAAGAGAAAACATTCAACTCAAGAAGCTCTGTTATCTGCACATTTTTACTTGGATAGCAGCCGAGACTCTGCAACTGAACTTCACCTTCAGCAGTTTCCTATTGACATCCCTGGTAATCATATTTTCCCCCAGGCTCACATGTCTGAGCTGGTGATTAGGGCAAGAGCAGCAACAGAACTGCTCCTGGGCACTAGGAAACACCAAAGGAAAGGAACTGCCTGAAAGGCATTTGGGACCACAGTCCCCACGGACATGACCACCAAGAAGTTTGTAGGCATCCAGCACAGAGTAAGCTACAATTAAACCCAACACAGCAGGACAGAGGAGTTTCTCATTTCAAGGCTGTGCCACAAATGAATGTCTGTCCTCAGAAACTTTTGGAGACAGAGTCAGGCAAGCCAGTATTGAAGTGCAGTGAAAGGTAAGAGGTGTATTTTCAGTTAACAAACAAGCAGTGCAGCCCCTCATCTGGAGGCAGTGGATGGCCTTCGAGTGCCACTTTGTCCTTGTTGGGCTGCAAACAGCCGCAATGCACCTGGCCAACATTAGCTGTAGCTGTTACATTTATGATTTTATGGCTGATATTTCCTTCCCCCCCCAATTGAGTTCACTGTCTGAATGATCACATCTGTTTATGTTCCACAGACACCTGCGTATCTTGAGATGACAGCAACTCCCTGAATGCTGTAATCAGTTATTTCTCAACAGAGGAATTGCCAATTTGGTAAATAAAGCTCATTATAAAAGAACATGAAAATGTATTACAGTTGCCTAACAGAGAAAATTGCCCAGAGCCGCCAAATAATCAGCCCTGGCATGACAGTGTCCCCCAATTTAGGGCAGCTGAAATAATAAGATGCAAATTACTTATGCCAAGGCAATGCTGGATAGGGGCAAGAGGAAAATGAGGAAGAGACAAAATACATACTTTTCTCTTCAGACCAATAATAATTTCAAACCTAGTCAGGGACAGACCTTGCTGCTCTAAATCTCTGCCTGCAGAGTCAGAAGTTCTGTGGCTAGCCCAAGCAGATCCAAAAGTTGGCATGGCAGCAGCAGCAAAAGCCCACACAGTCCTGCTCCAACAGATCTGAGGGCTCTAATTGTCCTACTTTGTTTTGGAAAACTTGCTCTTCCTCACCGGGGGACAGCAAGTTTGACCTACACAAAGATGCAGAGCTGGAATTTTTACAAGATCTGAGGCTAACAGAGATAAGCCATGCGTAAGCAAACATCACTTCTGAGGATGAAAAGTGTTGTGGCATCAGCTCTCAATAAGAAGGAAAGGCATTTTGTTGCTTTAATGAAGATGTAAAGCACTAAGTTGCTATCTAAAGAAAAAAGAGACGAAGCAGAATATAACACAGAAAACAATTCTCAGCCCCCCTCATCCATTTTCATAAACACTGCATTAAACTCTGACACGACCTCCAAAAATCCATGTTCACATTCTTCAAAAACTGTCAGATACAGTCAGAGAGGACAGAGGAAGCTAATGCTGCCAGATAGAGAAGCTCTACCCAGAGAAAAGGAATCAGGTAACCAAACTAGACCTGCTCCTCTGGTTTGCTGACAGGCCTTTTGCAATTCCACCACACCTTCCTCTAGGAGAATAAGATTCCAGATGTACCCAGATTCCTCCATTCCTCAAGCAGCAAGCAGAGGGCCCAACATAGAGCACAAGAATGAAAGGGATGGTGGTTTATGGCAGACACAGCAGGAACTGAACACAAGAGGTCATGGAAAGAAAGATAACTTGGGCTCTGCAGCCAGCAGGCAAAGGTTTTTCCAGTATGATTCCCTACCATGACTTCCCTTCAGCCAGGACTTTGCAACCAAGTACTTTCAAATAAGCCAGTCATCCCGGGACCAAAATGAACAAGTTTTGTGATTTATAAACTGTGACTTGAAATACTGCTACTCCTCACACACATTTGGAGTTTTTGTTGGCATTGGCAGTAGGCAGAAAACAGCAGTTTACAAACTCATGGGACTGAAAGTATCTCACAGCACACAGTGACTGTTAAATACTTTATTGTTTAGGAGGGAACCTTGGAAGAGAAGGAAAGTGCTTGCTGCTGTAACCAATGGGAGCATTGCTAGGAACAGTTAATCCTAACAAGCTGCTCAGGGTTACTTCCAAATACTTCAGACCCCTTCTCCAGAGCAAACAGAGGCAACAGCTCTTGAAACTCAGATGTAGGTTGGCGAAACCAAAGTTGGGACTGGGTGAACCAGGTTTATGTTGGGGCATGACTCCAAGCTACAAGATGTGCTGAAAGCACCTGGGGCCAGCACAATTCTCTACATCACAAAAAAATGAAGAAATTATAGCATTCCCCCCCTCTTGTGACCCTTCTCCCAACTCCAGAAACATCCACAGAGACTGATACATGCAGGCAGTTAGAAGAGGAATCATGTTGTATTGTCTTGGTCATGGAGGGCAGAAGGCACTGGTTTGGGTCAGTGTCTGTCCAGGATGATGGGGCTTCCAAGGGCGTCTCTGCTCCTTGTCCACTGCTCTTTGGCGGATGATGTTTATCCAGAATTAACTAACAGCTCCTGGAGAAAAAAGGAGACAAAAGAAAAAGGCAGCAAGCTAGTTACGCAGCTCTTGACATGGGAATGTTGCCATCAGAAATGAAAGAGTAGCATTGGCAGGGTGAAAATCCCACATAAAAATCATCATGTTTCACCTACTGTAAAACACAAGATATTTAAGGGGAGAGGACTGTGGAAGCAAGAAAGCAGCTCATGATAACAAAGGTAAGGCTGGTTCTGTGATCAAGAACACATGGTCAGCTGCAACGATCAGGACTGTAAATCCATTGGCCTCCAGTGGGAGAGAACAGCTGTGGCTCCAGGTAAGCCTTGGAGCAGTGAAGTCACAAGAGTAAGTGTAGCCACACACTAAGTCCTGCCTCAGCAGGACACAGGAGTACTTGGATTAGCTGCCATCAAACACGTAGACACAGACACATACACTCCCCCCACTCTCTCATCCTGGAACAGGATCAATATAAGAGCACCAGAGAAGTGAGAAGAAAATGGGGACTCAGAGACCACCCTAACTCCTGCCATATCTGACAGCCTTTATGTTATTAAGACCCAAACCCTCCTAAAATTCAAATCAAAATCACATCTGCTTTGTCCCCACAGAAACCTACTAAGTGGTGCCTCCTCAGATCCTGCAGGTATCTGCATATGAGCTGTGATTATAAGACAGAAAGCTTCCAATGTTTTTAGGATGGAGATTTCAAAATCTGCTGTGGTCTCTTCATATTTTTATCTTATCGCATCTATATAGTCAAAGAAATCAAACCAACAATACCATCAGCAGTGGATGAGAATACACATGACACCACTGTAACACCCCTCCCCCTGAGGATCTGAGAAATCAGTGTTGGATCCCAGTCCACAACGTGGGCAATCAGCTCTCCTGCAGCAGCAATGGCATTGTTGTGTCAGCGCTACAATCACAGAGGGCAAGCCCATCAACAGGCTACTCCCTTCTCGTGCTCTGCACACGTGCAGGTCCCTTCTGCAGAGCAGACAGTACTGATCCATGTTAAGGGGACCCAGCTAAAGCCAACTAGAGAAAGACAACTGAACACTTCACTGCATACAGTCTCATTGCCCATTTTTATTAGGGCTGTATTTCAGCTCAGCTCTACTCTCCAGATATTTGCTTTTCTAAGGAGAGGAGCTGTGCTTTCTTCAGTGTGAATCAGAATGGAAAACATCACAAAACAATGATGCTAGCACTGTCTGTCAGAAGGTGAGGATGTCATTCAGGCTGCTTCTGCACAGCAGGCTGATATTGGCTGATATATGGTCAATGTAGACTGAATATGCTGGCCTTGAATCTCCAAAGACAGCCCCATCTCTGACAACAATGAACTGGAAAAGCTTCAAAGGACTCAAGAATAAAGAGAAAATTGTTCACCAAATTATTAAGACAAAGGTTATGCAGAAATCTGACAAATGAACCATCAATAATACTCCACTGACTCTAATTTTCCAGGTAATTTTTCTCATCATTAGTGACTTAAAAGTTATGCACAGAGCAATATATTTTAAAAACTCCAATAGCACTCACTGAAATTGCAATGAATGAAGCAGTAACAACTCACGATCAATTTTGCAATGAAGTAATTTGCTGTATTCATATTGTAACACTTCAGTAAAGTGTCCAGGAATGCTACATTTTGTGAAAAAAAAAGCCAAAAACCAACATCACTTCTGTGGCTACTCGGTGGTTAACCCTTCTGTGTTCTGGTTAAACCTTTTTTTAAACACTTTTAAAGAATACCACAGTTGGACAATTTCATGTTTAAAATCATAACTACATATTTCAACCTCATCTAGTTGCAGGTGTCTCTATCCATGGCAGGGGGGTGGAACTAGATGATCTTTAAGGTCCATTCCAGATGAAACCGTTATATGATTGATTCTATGACAGTTTTACTTATTTCAGGAAAAAATGAAGATAGCCAGTTCATAACCTCAATGAATTTTTTCCAGTCTAAACTACCCACATACCAGGTATGGCTATGGGTCCAGCCTCCCAGAACTGATGAGCTGAGAGACACCATATCTCTAAGACTAAATCCACTCTTCGTCCATGTTTGAACCCCCCTATCACTGCAACCATGCCAGTGCAGAATTGGCACCCCTTCATTTTGTTCCAACCTGGAATCCTCTCTGAAAGATGCTACCAGGTTGCAACAGCACTTACCTTGAGCAGAAGGAGCCAGTAAAGGGAAGGAGAAGCTTCACCTCTCCTCTATGCCCTTATCATTGCATATGCACCAGACAAGGTGAATATGCAACAAGTCCAGGCAGTTTGGAATTGCTGTTCTCACATGACAGGATAGTCCCAATTAATGGAGTTGAGGCTCAGACTGAGAAGTTTTGGTGCCTCCTCATAAAATGACTGCCCCACAGTTGGCATTAGCTGGTCTCTGCTGCAGTCTTAGAAGAACAAGTCAGGAGATGAGCAGCCTTGGAGAGTGCACTGCACCCCCACAATCTGATGAGAGGGAACAGTGCCCTTCTTGCATAGGGAGGGCACGATATTTTTAATGCCACTGCCAATGCAATCCAGGTAGAGACCAGATTCCAGTCTTGAGGAGCTCCAGCCCAGCACCTCTACACATGAAAATAATGTCCATAAAAAGGCAAATTCCTCACAAGCAAAAATAGGAACGGCAATCTGTTCAGTCCTGACAGCAAGTCCAGCTGGAGGGCATACAGCACTTGTTTTCTTTATGCCTCTCCCCGCAAATGGGACCTTCAAGCCACTAACTCACATTCTTCCACCACTGTGGCACCCTGCTCAGGAGCTAACTGCAGTCAAAATGGGCTGCTTAGCTGACACAGCCTGCCACTTTGCAGCCCCTGTGGGAAAGCCAGTAGCTTTCCAGTTCTGGTTCCAGTTGAGTGAGGAGAAAGGGCTGAGCTCTGCAAGCAGATCTGCTCCACATATCCCACCCCTGCTGAGAAGGGAGTCCAGTCAATGCCAATGTCCTTGTCCTCTAACAGAGCTGAGGCCTTGGTACCCAGCACCAGGGCGAGCAAGTTTCAGCAAGATTTTCTAATGCGCCCGTTCCTCTGTCCTGTTCCTTCTTTCTCAGTCTGCATCCCAGTGCAGAAGCTCGGGGCTGCCTGGTGAATCTGCAGCATCCTCTCCACCTCCCCCAGCAACCGGCCAGCTCTGTGCCTCAGCTCTCAGCCTTGCTGGAGGCTCTCAGCCAGAGGAGGAATCTGCCTCCTTGAAAAGCCAGACCCTGAAGAACTTCCTCTCTCAGTGTTTGCCAGAGACGCTGTTTGCCAAGCCTCAGCTGTGTTAAGACATATTTATTTAACCAGCCGTTAGTCTCACAGGGTAAACCCTGCAAGTTTCCTCCACCATGTGCCTTGCCTTTGTTTTAACATCCCCTTGAGCAGTTGCACCGCAGTGCTCACACACATGGGCACTGTGTAGCTATGAAGAAATCAGAAAGCAGATCCCCATGATAAATGACTTGGTGCATTTGGAGTGTCAGTGACAAAGTAGAAATTAATCTCCATAGTTCCTAGTTCCCTGCCGTGTGCAGGCAGCTCTCAACATCAGAATACCTGTTGGCAGACAGCAGACCCCGGCAACGTGACCGCACAACTTTTTCATCTCAGTGTGGAAAGTGGCACAAACAAAATACAAAAATCCTGACCTGCCCTAAGATGGGTGTTCAAGGCCTTTACACTGGATGAGGCATTTGTTGCAGGGCTATTAGCACCCCAAAGCACTGCCAGGGACATTTGAGTCACTTTGGTTTGATGTATGCTGTAGGTATTTTTTGGTTATGTGCAATTTGTTCTGTTACACTCAGAGTATTGGCTATTTTGTGGAGCAGCTGTGCTGACTAATGGATCACAGCACTTCTGTGCCATATAGTTATTGCACAGAAAAGCCTCTCTGTCTCTCTCATCCTTCAGGAGTCCAACAGTTGCTGTCCTTGGGACTGGAATAAGGAGGGCCGGGAGCATGCCTGGCAGCAACAGAAAACATTAATTCAAAAAGCTATGAAGAGAGTTTTGTTTTCCTTCTTCTCTGTACTGGTGTTAATAGTTTTGCAAAGCAGGGAAGTTCACCCAATGACTTCTTGGCTACTTCCCCAGATGGTGTCTTCAAAGTTGGCTTGACAGCAGAAAAGACGCTTTTCAAAAAACTCACCAGATGCATTGTCAGAACACCCCAGAAAGTGCTTTCACGTGGAAGTCTCCTGGTCTACATACCCCACCAACAGAGTGCTAGGAACAGAAACAGTCTTTCTGGTTTCCTCCTCTCTCTCCTTTGGCTCACAAGAGCCTAGACACTGCTTGCTTTGCTCTGCCTTGACACCTCCCCATTGCTCTGCATCACCCAAATACAAAGTTATTTACCAGCACAACTAATCTCCAGCTGTTCTGAGACTCACCTGTTTGTTCATGCATTATAACATTGATTTCCTCCAGACAATTGTTCTGATCATTGTTCTAACTCGCAGAGAGCTCCTGTCATTAGCCTTGCTTAACAGGAAATATTTTGCCACTGACTGAGCAGCTCTGCAGTCAGCAGACTGCATAAAAAATCATCCTGGCTGGGGGGCTGCATCTCCCTGCTGAGCTGGTAACCCCCGACGTCGCAGTAGGGAACAAGCTCAGTGCTTTTGATTTTGGACATGTGCTAGAAAAGAGCGGAGCCAGGAGGAGCAAACACAGCTCTGCAAAGGGCTGCTGCTGAAAGGATGACTGCTAATTAATCCACATACAAACCGAGGGCAGTTTTTGCTCAATCGATGTTAATTGCATTTAATCTCATTCTTGCCATTAAGAGAAGCCACCGGGCCAGGCTGATGTCGCTAGCGCCTGACATGTAGATTCCACCCACGTTTGGGAGGCAAGGCAGGAGGAGAAAAGTAATGGAAAGAAAGGAATAACCCTTCCTCAACCCCTTCTGCATCACTGCACAATTTCATCTGGTCTGTTCCATTATTTAAACAATTTTTGTTTTCCAATAACATTACAGAGGAGCTCAAAGGATGAAAATCAGACACAGAGCATTTCACTACTAGTTATTCTTGCTCTCCTGGGTACCAGTTTAGAGCTTTGCTAACCTGCACAGCTTGGGCTGTTGTGTTTCTGTAAAGGACTGAAATACAGAAAATCGCTTATGTGAAGTGGTGTTTGCTTTTTAGTCCTGGCCTGATCCCAACAGACCTGCCAGAGCCCCTCAGTATGACCTACAACTGCTGACTGCCACCCTCCATCAGCTCTGCTGAAATTTTTCTCCTCACCTTGCTACCCAGCACAACCCCAGCAGGCACCAAAGCACACTGAAGCCTGTCTTTCTCTAACATAACACAAACTAGTATTTGTTATTAAACAACCTCTGACCAAATTTGCCTTGTAAGACAGAACATTTTTGAAGCCTGAACTTCCCAGGTAAGCTGACAGTGCATCCACCAGTGACCTGGCTCTGATCTGGGGACTGTGTATCTGCCCAGCTACCTGCTTGGGAAATGGGAACAATACTCTCGCCTCTGCAGGAATCAAGCCTGGGGACAGAGGAGCAGCTCCTGTAGCAGAGGAAGCCCAAGGTGGCAGATTTCATGACTACTGGCTTATTGCTTCTGTGAGAGCCTTGTGTTTTTCCAAATCAGTATCAAGAACAATAATAATCAAGCCCAGGCTCTGTCAGTGCCTTTCCCCCGAGGCAGCACACAACGCTTGCCCAAAGCCAATGCTGCAGTTTATCATGGATTTTCTTTATCCCTCAACAAGTGTTAATCCCAATGCCTCTCGCTGCATGAAGTGGACATATCACAAGTGCCATGAAGGACTGGCTGAGTTTTAAGTGCTCTGAAATGGCTCCACTAGACTTGGTCAAGATTGCTTTAAAATCATTTCCCATTAGGACTGTGACCCTCTCTCTTTACAGCCAGTGTAATGACTGTATCTCAGAGGAAGGTAATTACATCCCACAATCTGTACACATCAGAAACTGCACGCTCCAAACACGACTGTGCCTTTCTGGACTGAGTGGTAGAAGGCAATGCAGGAGGGAAAGGAGATAACAGTAGACACCCCTCCATCCTGCAACTAGAGTCACCCCGAGTGTTTTGCAAGCCTGTGGATTAGCCCCTGGGAGGGATAAAGGGATCCAGAAGGCACAGAGTGTTTCTAAAGCAGAACAATGACAACTTGTACAAATCCAGCTCTGGTTTTGCGAGGATTAAAATGAACTTCACCCAACTGTGAATATCCGCTTCCAGAGCCAAAAGGAATGGAAAACCATTTACTGATGCAACAGTATTTCATTATTTCAAACCCTAAGCCCAACACTTCCAAAAATTAAGGAGAGGCAGCAGTAACATTATTTGCTGGGGGACACTGGCTGCAGGGGCTTAACTGCTGAACTGCCAAGCCATGCTCTGGGTACAACGTGATGAAACAATAGACACAAATATTGGCAACTTTTCTATACTGTCTTTCC